TATATATATATATATAATTCATATCTTATTGACTAATTGTTGTTAATATTTTTATGTAATATACATTTAAGAACAAACAATTGACTTTTTTGTATAATATATTTTCTTCCAAATTAATATTTTACCAGAAAGTAGAGTTTAATACTTCTTTTGAATTCATGTACATTGTAATTACTTTAATATTAAAATAAAGAATAAAATATCAATTCATCATTACAAAATTAAGTATAAAAAAATGTGTAGATTCTTGTTATATTGTAAATTGCTTATTAAATATATCTATTAAAACTATTATATGATATTTTCAATATAAAAATAAAATTATAAATAAATTAAGGAATATATAAAACTGGTACAAATCACTTCAATGTTTAAATTTTCCAATAGTTTAATTAAAAGTTAATAAAATTTCTTCCAAAATAAAAAACTATAGATTGCTTTAATGCAATCTATTCATTTTAAGTAATTTTAACATTAGAATGAAATGTATTAATAATGTAAAATACAATAAAGAAACTTCTCCATTAAATTATGTTAGTTATTTCTTTATATTATATATTATTTAGTTTAAATTCTGAATATTCATATAAGTTAACAAAAATTTAATGATGAACAAAAAATAAATAATATAAAAAAATTGAATTAACAAGAACTTGTGTGTGTTTCAAGTGGTTGATCATTAATTTTATCAATTATTATAGATGATTTCTCTCTTTTTTTCTTTTTGGATAATGTTTTTATAGATCTAGTTAAGCGTTTAGTTTTTGCAACTGTTCGATTTCTTTGATTAAGGGTTACACTTCTCAATTTTCTATTTGTACCATGTGTAGTTTGCTAAATTATACAATTTAATTGTTTAAATATATCACTAATAGTAATATAACATGATATAACAACATATTTACCATAATATTAGAACAATATTGACAAAGACAAATTGTATCAGTTGATGTAGATGTAGCTTTATGTAATATAGCTTCAAATCCTAAAAATTTTGTATCAAAATTAACTTTAGCTTTTATCACATCAGTAAATGAATTTTGAACTGTTAATATGTTATCAATATAATCTTGAATTTTTCCTTCCCTATTTAATTGTTTATTATTTAATGAAGGAAGTTGCATTTGTTCTATATTATTAATATCTACTACTTTACAATTTTTATTTGTATTACAGGATTCATTTTGTAGATCATATGTTTTTTTGATATTTGAAGTAGATACTTCATCTTGTAAAAGATCTAATAATAAATTATTATAATAGTTTAAAATTTAATAATATACTAAATTATTACTAAATTAACTTACCAATAAAGTTTTTTAAATATTCTGAAAAGATTTTATTACAAGAAAGTAAATGTTGAAAAGCTTCATCAAGGTTTTTCTCTGTAAAATATGTTCTTGCTAATAGAGATCGTTCAGATAAAGTTACACCAATGATATTAGAATTAAAAATTTTCCACTGTTTACGAGAAATCTCTGCTTGCCATTCTAAAGCACAATCTTCTAGTCTTGTATTGATTGACTTTAACAATTCATTTGCTTCTAATAACTGTTGAGGAATGCAGGGATTCCTTTTATTGAAAGGAAGATCACTATCTTCAATCATAGATATATTATCAATTGTTGTCATTTCTAATTTTTCTTTGAATTATATAAATATATTACTTAAATAAACATTGATTAAATCTGTCTGTAAAGTTTATAGTAAGAATTAAAAAATATAAGGATAGATGAAATAAATTGAAATAAATGAAATAAATTTGAAATAAATTTAGATTGCATTAGTCTTTTATCAAACAATTGAATACTTTTTAAGTATACTCTGTGTAATAATAATTAAATGCATTATAACAATAAAACAATTTTATTTTATTTTTTAAATCTTACTGTACAAGACATTGAATTTTAATGGATTTGTTAACATAGAAATAATTACATGAATATAATTATGAATATAATTACAATATTGATATTAAGACATTTAAAATTTATATATTTAAAAAATATCTATAAATAAATTATTGCATATAATGCATTTTTCATTTTATTTTTAAAATAACATAATATTTTTTTTAAAAAGCAATTTTATAGATAGATCTTATATATAGATCTTTTTTTATTATACAATCGCAATGCATTGATTAAAATTGAATATTTTTTTATAATCAAAACAATAATTCATAATTTGCTAAAATTTTGTAAAATAGATAAGATTTAAGATTTTAATTTTAATCTATTGCCTAAATGTTGCATTTATAATGTAATTAAATCCAATTATTATATATAAAAATTTTTATTATTAAAGAAAAAATTGCAAATATTATATTAATTTGAAATAGTTAATGAAATTTTAAAATACTTATTTGTATATAATTGAATATTAAATTATATATTCTTATTAATTTTTTGACAACAACAACCACATTAATTCATTTTTAAAAATAATTATTACTGTTGAGGTCATTAATAGATTAAAAGAAATTAATTATTTGCATTAGTTAATGCACATAAACTTTAAAAACATAATATTAAAATATAATAATGTGTAAAATATATGATTACAAATTATGTAAGTTGTTCTGTGCATGTATTATTTACATTGTTATAATAAAATTATTTATTGAATTTAAAATATAAACAAATTTTAATAAAATGAAAATGAGAAAATATTTTTTTTGATTTTTTCAATTATTCAGATGGCCCCTTTCTTATTTTAATATTTCTATTTCTAAAAAATTTTATTATCTTACAATGATATATGATATATATACAGCAATGAAATTAATTTTTTTTTTGTATTATATTATTTTCTTTTGTTAAAATATTAATATTAATATTAATAATTAAAAAATGACTTAAAGTAGCAAGAAAAGATGAATTAAAAATATTAATAAATAATATTTTGTTTTGTTATAATATTAAAATTATTTTATAATATTATATATATATATATAATATATGTTAATATATTCCTGGACAGATAAGTCCACTTATGATTATATATATCATATTATATATAATGTACTAATTTTTAGCTGCTTTTATATACACATTTATAATTTAATTTGAATTTTACATAATATAAATACATTTGATGCATTTTCTTGATATTATATAATTTTTAAAAAAACTATCATTAGATTATTATTACAGATTGATAAATTTTATACAACAGATTTCTATGGTTTAATTCAATGATGATAATAACAATAATTTTTTTATTAAAACATTAAAATAAGTAATATAATTATAAGCAAAAAATATATTATAATAAAATTATAAAAAACTCAATAAATTAAAATACTATTATTATATCATTGATATTAAGAGATCATAGTAATCTATTGTAATAAAATTTATCAAAATATGATTACAGTAATTGAGTCTATTTATATTTACACAATACATATTATAAACTTATATTGTACAAATAAAATAATATACAATTTTAAGTTATTTAATAAAAAATAATATTTGCATTATTATGATAAATGTAATTCAATTGTGCATAATAAGTAAATCTTTAAAAAGAACAGAAAAAGAATTAATTATTTAATATTAATTTTGCTTTGAGATACATACTGAAATAGAATTTCAAAAATGATATATTAAGATAAATTTCTCTATTCATTATTGAATATTTAAAAAACAATATAATTTTTAAAAACTTTAATGATTATGATTTTAGGATTTATTTTTATGTATTCTTATTTAATTAGCTGCTCTAAATTATTAAACTTATATTAATCTTAGTCTACACCACAACCTTTGTAGACTTAGTGAACTTGTACTTTGCTTCAATATTTCCTGTTTTAATATACATTTAACTTAAAAAACATTGCTCATCAAAATTTAAGGGAAGAAAAAAAAATATTACATAAAGACTTAACAAAGTATTAATACAATTTATATTACTTATTATATTTTATTAAGATATCTTCTGCAAGATCTTTCATGAAAAATATCATGTAAACTATTATTTTAAATATTATTAATAAGATTTATATAAAATCATTATGAAATAAGTTCTTCTTGAACTTATTGTTATTTTATTTATATTGAAATTCAAGAAAATATCACATAAAAAAAATTTTAATATTAAATAATCATTAAATTAAATGTAAAAGTATTATGATTATTTCTATTTCTTGATTATAAGCAAATTATTTTGTTTTTTTATTTTATTGCTAATATTTCATGCTATTAAAAAAAAAATTATATTTTCATTTATTGTGATGGCACATTTTAAAAAATTTTTTTATGTCAAAACAGGAAGGAAGAATTAATATTGTATATTTACAATTATAATCTTAAAATTATTCTCAAGATATTGTGCAAGAATTACGACCAACACAACTGGTACGAGAATCTGTTATACTACCAGGTGAACTACCTGGAGTTGATAATCCATTATGGCCTACACCAACAAAACGTAATTTTCGATGATGAGAACCTAAACTTTTACTAGAACTCAATGATCTATTTCCATTATAACGCAATTGTGATGTAGTTGTCATTGCATAAGATTTTAAATGAGATTTAATAGATTTAGGTAATGGAAGTTGATCAATACTATAAACTGTTGTTCTTGCAACTATTGCACGACACGCAAGTTCTTGAAGACTGAGAACTAAAACATAGAATGATATTCATATCAGATTTTTCTAAAATTATAACAAAAATTGAAATGCATTACCTTTATTAGAGCGCCACAATCTTTCCATACCATTACGATGTAAAGCCATTCGAGAAAGTTCAGAAAAACTTTCACGAATATTAAAATCACAGAGAGGTGAAACTTCAAAAAATGCCATATGATTTTTAGCTGCATATGCTTCAGCATCACGTTCTCCTACTTGTCTTTTAAAAGCTAAATGAAGACGATTACCAACAAGTACTTTTGGTACTCCAGGAGCATGCTGCAACATAAATAAAAATTAAATATAATTTCGATATATGTTAATTTTTATATTAAAAAGTAAATTTTAAATTTGATTAATAATAACTGTATTTAGTATATTTAAATATTTCAAAAAAATTAGTTTAAAAAAATAATGCTAAGAAATAATATATTTCTAATATATTTCATATTATTTGTAATACATATAAATAAAATTAATCATTTAAAATAGTCTTTACATACCTCTTCAACTTCTTTTAGCCATCTGTCAATACCATCAAAAGACCATTTATTGGTAATATCATAGACTAAGAATATACCTTGAGCTCCACGAGAATAAGATCTGATTATTGTACAAAATCTACCCTGACCTGATGTGTCCCATAATTGTAATTTTACTCTTTTTCCATCCAGTAAAATAGTAGTAGTTTTATATGCTAGAAAATAAGTAATGATAAATTATTATTCATAAAATAAATATATAATTTATATAATGTTTTAACATAAATAAAATAAATTTAAAATTATTTATATAAAATATAATATAAAAATAAATATAAAATAAATATTATTATATAAAAAATTTCATTATAAACTTATAATAATTAATTTTCAATAACAATAAATAAATTCTGGAATTTCTTCTTGAATAATCATTATCACTCAATTCCAAATATGATAATTAAAAATGAATATCACTTTATTATAATGAATTCAATATAAATATATTATTTATATTTCTATGAAAAATTAGGTTGAAATAGAAAAATTAATTTAGAATAAAATAATAGAAAGAAAAATTCTAAATACCACTGCCGCTGCAAAACGGAGATTCGGCAGCACCGTCTTCAAGTCCACTCAAGATTTCTTGTTTTCCAACGTCACTGTCACCCACCAGCAAAAATTTGAGGAGGTAATCGTATTGTTTTTCTTGACGAGACTTCGTTGTGCTGGCCTCACCTGCAGCCATAATAATCCTGTATTGGAAACCCTGAGCATACTGCAAGCAAACCTCTATGCACTGATCGCTCTTTCAACGTTTTTTGTATTTAAGGATCCGTGGACGGATAAACTTTTTTAATAAATTGTTATTGCAAATCAGACCATGTTTTACTCTTCAATCCAAAATTCTTTTTGCACATCAATAATACATCTTTATAACATTCTTTCATGAATGATTATTATTCTTTTAAACAAAATCATAACAAAACAAGAATGAATTTCCATCATTTTCCACTATATCATCTCTTTTATGTTTAATTGTTTAGTTGAGGGATCTATTCTTAAAATTATCGAAGGTTAAGTATGTTCGTTAAGTAACTAACTTTAAGGCAACTACATAAGAAACCATTATCTAGTATCTTTTTTAGTTTTATTACTAGTTATTTTTTCTTATCTAATTACTATAGTTATTTATTAAAAATATCTTATTATCATTTGTTAATAAGAAATGTTATTCTTTTATTTTATATTATATTCTTTTATCTTTTATTTATTAAATAAATAGATTAAAGAGATTATTTAATTTAATTAATATTGTAATTGAATCCAAAGAAGATATTATATTTAATTTTTTTAATAATTTAATTTTATATTTAATTTATTTTAAAATAGTTATGTCATATTCCTTTAAATCAGTCAATTTTAAAAAAATTGAAAATAGAATAATAAATATCATTGAAATAAAATTAATTGTAAAATAAATTTTTATGTAAAGTGATAATTAAAAGTGATGGTTTATTTAAATTTGAATATTTTTATAATAATAATAATTTTTAATAATAAAAGATTTAAAATATATAATTTAATAAATATTAAATATTATAACTTACATAAAATATTTTCTTGAAATATTAATATAATAAATTTCATTGATTAATTTATGTATTTATTTATTCTTTTTTATGTAAATATGCATTATAATAATGTATTTATACATAAGTTATAATAAATACATAGAACAGAATGTTTTTTATTTTTTGAAATATATTTTTTAACAAATATATAGTATATGATTATCATATAACTATAAAAAAAATAACTTTTAGAATTAATTTTATACATGATTGATATTTATTAAATTTATTAAATAATTTCAATTTTTAAAGTATTAAAAAAGATTTAGTATAAATATTTCTTTCTTATATTAAACTGAATAGATCTAGCATTTAAGTTTTAAATGACAATTCTTTCTCTCTCTCTCTCTTCTTTTTCCAGCAAACATGTATAAAACGTATAAACAAAACTATATAATATTCTACTTTTACTATTTTCACAAATAATTTATAATTATATAAATTTTATTTTTTAACTATTTGAATAACATCTTCATCGTGCATAATATGTTGTAATCCAACTCGTTGAGGTGAATATTTGGTACTTGTACCCTAAAAAATAATATATTTATAAAGATAATATGTATTTTAAAAAATTTTTTCTTTTTTAAGATATTTTAATTTTGAAAAATTATATGTATTTTTATGTATTATTTTTTATAATTTATTATTTTTGTTATATTTACATATATTTTGAAATTAGCAAAAAAATATGCATAGAACATATATTAATTATTTTATATATTTTATAATTAGAATATATATTATATATTTATAGTTATTTATAATTGTTGTTAAATAATTTTTTCTTTTATTTTTTTATAATTATTTCACATGATAAAAACAAATATTGTATTGTAAATAATAAAAATAATAATTATTAAAAAGTTATTAAATTAAAATCTCTGATTATTAGGAGGATATTTTACCAATTTTTTTTTTTGTTCTAAAACAGTGCTGTCCACTGATGGGGCCCCGTTACGCGATTTTATCTCCCTTTATGCTAGTATTCAAAAGTAGTAGAGTAATTCATGTATTCCATCTTCTATGAATTCTTCATTCACATATTTCCTCATTTTATATTCAATGATATGCTATGTTTGGTTATAAATATATTTTCTTCAGCTAAGACCAAACATAATCAATCCTTTTATTTGACTGTTCTGAAAATAATCGATTAAAGTTTGAATTCTATATATTAGAAATAAAAATCTCGCGCGAAATAACACGGGATGTAGATGGAGCCCATTTTACTAGCAACTAAGTTTGGACAGCACTGATCTAGAAAAATATATATATATTTTTTTTTGATATTATTTTTTTTTATTTATTCTAATAGTAAGCATCTAATAATTAGTAAAATTAAAATTTTCTCATTTTATTAAAAAATATTAATTAATAATTGTAAGAAATATAGATTATAAATATAAAAATATAATTAAATATATATTATAAATAATTCTTACCCAAACAAGAGCATATTTAAATTGTTGAGCAAGTGTACGATGAATTGCATGACATACATGTTCTACTGTAACTCCTTTTCTTAATATTAAACCATCTTCAAAATCAGGTGGTTGACCAGGTTTTTTTGTATAAACTCTTATTAAAGATAAATATTCCCATAATGTTTCAAGAAGGAAGTCCAAATTTAATTTCATATTGCAACTACAAGAAAAATGTGAAATATTTTATAACTATTTTATAATAATTTTATAATAATTATAAATAATACAAAAAACAATGAAAAAAAATGAATCTTTTGATAAAAATATTTAAAAATACATTTTTTTCCAAAAAATTTTACCTAACTACTACACTATTAGGTTGCCTGGCAATTCTATCCACTTCTTCTATTGATATCTGATCTATTTTATTATGTACATAAAGACATGGTAAATATACTCTATTGGCATTAATTACATCAATTAATTCATCTGCACTACAATCTTCACGAAATAGAACTTCTGCATTGAAAATTTTATATTCATGTAAAATCATTTGAACTAATTTTTCATCTACTTTTGTTAATGGACATGTTGAATTGAATGCTAATCCACCTCCTTTCTTTATCTTGAAATATATGTTTGGCTTTTTTTTATTAAGTCGTATACCAACTGATTCCAGTTCTTTTTCTAAAAGTTGTCTTTGTACATCTTGTTTAGTAGCATCTAACATCATAAGAACTAAATCAGCTGTTCGTGCAACAGCTATTACTTGCCTACCCCTTCCTTTACCCTAAAATGTTTATTTATAGATATAAAAATTTTATATATTATTTTTGTTCATTGATATAAAAATTATATATAAATAATTATAATTATTAATAAAAATTATTAAATATTAAATATACTATATTAAAAAAATTTTGTAATTACCTGTGCAGCACCTTCAATTATTCCAGGAAGATCAAGAAGTTGAATATTAGCTCCTTTATATTCAATAACACCAGGTATACAAGTTAAAGTAGTAAATTCATAAGATGCTGCTTCAGATTCTGTATGTGTTAATGTACTTAATAAAGTAGATTTTCCTACAGAAGGAAAGCCTATCAAAGCTACTCTTGCATCTCCTGATTTTAATACATCAAATCCTTCTCCTTTTTCAGATTTTTTTGGTGGTTCTAAAAGTTGTGATCTATATTTCGCAAGTTTTGCTTTTAATAAACCTAAATGATACTCAGTAGCTAAAAATTAATTAATAAATTAAATTAATTGTCAATAAATTTGATCTTTATAGGAATCATTATTATTTTAAATATCATCATGATAATATTATGCTAGATATTAAACTATTATCAAATATTATAATAACATTAATTTCAACTGTTATCATATTAAAATATATTGCAAAAACTAATAAAAACATAATAAATAATAATTAATAAAAATATAAAGATTTTTTCTAAATGAATATTATTAATAAATCAGCATAATATAAAGAATAACAAAGATTTATTATAAATCAATTTTAAAATGATTTATTAAATTTAAATTATTATATTTTATAATAATTGTTTAATTTCAATTGAAAATAAAATATTTTATATCAGAAGTTATAAATTTTTAATATTTTACAATTTTTTGCATATGCTACAAATGCACAAGTGAATATACAAATACTTTTACAAAAATTACAAAAATCATTATAGCCTTAAAACATGAACAAACCTTTATTCTTTTGCGTCCGAGCAATTTCTTTTTCAATTTCAGATATTTTTTCTAATATTCCCATTTTAATAAAGTAACAAATGTACAACAAATTTACATTTACAAAAATGACATACACTCTTACGCGTGGTGTGCGTGATAATATAAACCATTTACCATAAACAATAAATTATTAGAAGAACGTTCATTGCTATTCAATAACGCCATCTAACAGTTTAATGAAAATGTTGAGTTTTATGTTCAAATATAATTTGAAAGAAGCATATCTTAAGTTATACTAGTTTGTGATTATATTATTTAAAATAATTCGTGCTTGTGAACTTTTTTCTTTTGGGTTAATTTGTAGATTTTCAAACTAGAGGTTATATTAAGTATTTCACATAATTACGTAAAAGTAATAATCATGTATGACGATTACAATGAGGTAAATATTAATTAAATAAATGTTTATATTATAATGTTATTATAATAGAAATATAATTTAACTTATTTTTAGTATGATGCTTATGATGATTATGGACCACCAGATGTTCATAGCGATCAATATGACAGATTAGGCTATCGTCAAGTACCAGAAGTTGTACGAAATTTTTTAGTATTTTTGCGAAATTGTATAAATGAAGGAATGATTTTTGAAATTCAAAATCTTTATGAAACAACATTTCCAAAAATCTCAGAACAATTATTTGATAAATCTTCTTGGCCGGATACTCAAACAATTGCACATATAGTTGATAATGATCCAGTATTTCTTACACTATATAAAGAACTTTATTATCGTCATATTTATGCTCGTATGCAAGGACCAACATTAGAACAACGTCTCGGTTCTTTTTATAATTATTGTGATCTTTTTAATTATATTTTACGTCCCGAGACACCAGTCCAATTGGAATTACCTGATCAATGGTTATGGGAACTTATTGATGAATTTGTTTATCAATTTCAATCTTTTACACAATATCGTGCTAATTTATCAAATAAGACACCTGAAGAAATTGAAAACTTAAATGCACATAGTAAGACATGGGATGTATTGTGTGTTTTAAATGTCTTACATTATTTAGTAGATAAATCAAAAATCAAAAGTCAATTAGAAGTATATGCAAGTGGTGGAGATCCAGATTCTGTTGCTGGTGTATTTGGAAGGCATTCTTTATACAAAATGCTTGGATATTTTTCTCTTGTAGGATTGTTACGTTTACATTCTCTTTTAGGAGATTATTATCAAGCAATTAAAGTATTAGAAAATGTTGAACTTTATAAAAAAAGTGCATATTCACATGTTCCTGGTTGTCAAATATCAACAGCATACTATGTTGGTTTTGCTTATATGATGATGCGTAGATATGCAGATGCAATTAGGACTTTCTCTGGTATATTATTATATATTCAAAGAACAAAACAATTGTTTGCAACACGAAGTTATCAAAATGATCAAATTAATAAACAAACAGAACAAATGTATCATTTATTAGCAATTTGTCTTGTTCTTCATCCACAATGTATAGATGAAGGATTACAACAAGCATTACGTGATAAGAATTACCATGAAAAAATGTATAAAATGCAATATGGAGATTTAGTTGAATTTGAATCATGCTTTCTATTTGCATGTCCTAAATTTTTGTCTCTTACACCACCAAATCCTGATAATCCAAATGAAGATTATGTTCGAGAAGCAATTAAACATCAAACTCAAGTCTTTATGGATGAAGTTGTTCAACAGAAAATGTTACCAACAATTCGTTCATATTTAAAATTATATACAACTTTACCATTAAGTAAACTAGCTACATTTATGTGTAGTAATACTAGACCTGATGAAAATTGGGATTTAGATAAAGAAGTTAGTGCATTAACTATTCATCTATTATGTTTTAAACATAAAATGAAAAATATTGTTTGGACAAAAGGAGCATCAGGATTAGATGGAAAATTTCAATCTGGCTCAGAGGTATTTTATAAATGGATTATATATTTATAAAAATTATTATTATTATTATACATTTATATATATCATTTTATATATTATTGATATAATTTCATATTTTAATATTTATTATTTTTTATATTTACTAAAACTAAGAGATTAATTTAAAATATTTATTATAGTTGGATTTTTATATTGATCATGACATGATTCACATTGCGGATACAAAAGTGGCACATCGTTATGGAGATTTTTTTATTCGGAAAATTCTCAAATTTGAGGAATTAAATCGCAAATTACATCATATAAAAATTTAAGTATGTCATTTCAATGATATATATTATATAAAATAAAAAAATTCGTAATAAATATATCTTTATATATCTTTTATTCATATGATCATAAAATTCAAAATCAATTACTATATTAAATGATAAATTAAATAGATCATGTTTCGTCATTTTAATAAATTTAAAATATAATATATAATATATATTTAAAATAATCTTATGTTTACATACAACTAAAAAGAACTAAATTTAAACTAAAAAAAAAATATTGACATTTATATAAAAATAACATATATTTATTTTTTACTTCATTATTAACATAATATAAATTATTAAAATATGTTTTAATATATATACATTAAAATAATATGCTAAAAATTGATATGATTAATAATCTCTAATTCATTTTATTAAAATGAGAGATCAAATAATAATTCTAACAATTCCTCTAGCATTCTTTCATGTTTCATATATAGTATTTTTTTAAAAATATTATTATGGTTAAAAATAATATTTGCATTTGTTTATAATTTTTATAAGTAAGTATAATTTTATAAGTATTTTTTATTAATATTTTATATATTAATACAAATTATTTTATTATCGATTTAATATATAATATAATATAACATAATTACTTTGCATGTTGCTAAATATTAGAAATTAATGTAATGTAGACAATGCTTTCAAATTATAAAGATAATGAAAGAAATGATTTCTTTTATTAAACGATCTCTTTTATTATTGATATTAACTCTTTTTTTTTTTTGACTCTACATATTCTCACATGGAAAATAATTTATAGTTATAATTTAATAGTCAAGTAATAATAGCATAAGATAAGACTATTCATTTCTTTATTTATTTTTTAAATATAATATTATATAATATTATAATAGCATGTTCCATTATAGTCCAACATTTAATAATATTTTGTTTACAATTTATCTATTCATTCTAAATAAATCTATTCATTTCTAAATAAATATTATTAGAAATTAAATATTGAGTGCCATTTTCAATTAAAGAAATAAATAAAATTGGAATGCAGTTTTATTTTTATTTTATTTTCTAAATTTAATGCAGAATTTTCTATATCAAAAATAACAATAAAATTATATTATTTAATTTACTTACTACATTTTATTTATTTTTTACAATTTTATTATTGATCATTCTTTCATTATTTATAGCATTTCCCTTTTTTCTTTTATTATTTTCTTTATTTACTATCTTGTATATACAATATTTTATTTTTCATTAATATGAATTTTTAAAATTTATAATTTGTTTCAATATTTATAGTGGATCAAACAGTAATAAATAACTATTCTTAAATCTCCACATTGTAAAGTTTCTGTGAAAGAAAAAATAACTTTGCATTTTTTATAATATTCATCATATGACATTAAAATGTTACATTAAATGTTACATTAGATTTTTATTAAATCTTTAAAAAGATCTTAAAAAAAGAATATTTGAAACAATAATTAACTTTGGATAAAAGTTCTCCAATTTGTTTAACTTATTACTATGCAATTAATAGAAAATCTATAATCATTTTCTGCCAATGAAATTAATTTTAATAAAATTAATAAAAAGAAAACTCTAAGTTTTTAATTCTAAATTGTTAAGAAAATCTTAAAATAAATCCTATTTTATTAAAGTGCCATTTTATTTAAATATGAATAAATGTTTCTCATGTCATAATGATTAGATGTTTTGAATTTGATTTTAACTGATACGTAATAGAAATAAATTCTTCATCTTCTTCAAATATCAATACAAAAAATAATATTTACAAGTAAATTTTGTGTTGATTTTTTTTTTTACTGTATTTTTTTTTGTATCTGAAATTTATTTTATTCCATGTAAAAATTAAATCACAAAAAAGTTGATATTTTTTCATTTTTTTCTAATTTTATAAGTAATTTAGTTGCTTTTTTTAATTCCTTTAAAAATCTTTTTCCAATTTTTTAATGCATTTAATTCTAATACATTAAAGATATAAAAGATATTTTCTTTTCTTTTTATTATTAGGATATACAAGAATATATCAAATTTTTTAATACTTAATGTATAACCGAATATATTTATTAAATGTTTGTAATTTTATATTATCCATAAGTTTCAATAATATGACTATTTGATTGTTTTTATTAATTTTTGCTATTATAAAATAACGAATAAAATTCATCTTCATTGCTGATATCTTTATTGTTATAAAAGTTATTTTTTATCTAACCAATCATTCATTCAATTTTGCTATTATTATTTCGTTTTCAATTACTTCACGATTAATTCTTATTTCAATTCTTTTAATCTATATTTATAAGTCCAATTATAGCATTCAAATTGATCTATTTTCGTTTTATATTCTTTATTGTCCTTTTATTTTTCGATTCTTTATTTTTTTCTAGTTCTTCTTATAGCTAATATTTATATTTTATAATTTATTATTATAAATGAATAAATGATAAATAAAATAATATCTGACACATTTTTTACATTTATATATTTTTTTAAATTTTTGGTTTCTTCAACTTTTATTTTTTTTTTAATGTTTTTAATTCTTTTTGCAAAAATCTATGATATGTTTAAAATAATTTAAATTTATATTTAGAATATAATTCTTATAAATATTCTGTGGAATATGAAAAATGTTATTTTCATTATATAATATATTGTTTGATTGTGTAATATATGAGAAAATGTTAAATATACTATAAACATTATTTTTTTGTTCACATTTTTATTACCGTTATTCGTATAAATAGCTGACGTTATTATTATCTCTAGATCTAAATTTTCTTTTGTAAATTAAAGGGGCTAATTTAACAGATGTTTTAAATTGTTAAAAATAATTTTATAATTATAATGATTTTGTTTATTTTTTGTAATATTTCTTAAAATAAAATTATTGTATAAATTTTCTATTCATCAAAGTTATTAAAGTTAATTATTATTTCTGTTTATTTTTATATCGTTTAAACATTTATTACTTCGCTATATAATTGTGCTTTGGATTTTTCAGTTGATTATATATCTTTATTTTTAATTCATATATGTATTTGTCTTTTTCTTTCAATGAATTTTCTGAATTTATATTTTTGAGCCAAAATTCCTATATTTTTTTTTATTTAATGTAATTGTTGTTCTTCGTGAAAATAATTTTTCATCGTTATTTTTATTTGCTTAAAAAAAAAATGATTAGAACAAATACAAATTATAATGGATATACATGGAATAAAATATTAGGAAAAAAAGTCAGAAAAGTGTAAAAATTCATTGTTAATTATATTGTTATATAATAAATTCTATAACAATATATATTTATTCTTATAAAAAAAAATATTTTTTATTAATTTTCATTCTATTATTTCATAGTAGAATGAATAATAATAAAAAATTGAAGTTAAGCAATCAAGATTGTACTTCAATAATATATTATTAAAAAAGATGTATTACTAAAATTTTTTTGAAAGTAAAATTAAAACTAAAATTAAATCAATTATATATATTTAAAATTCATTAAAATTAATGAAGAAAGAGTTAATCAGCAAATTGATCGATAATCAAAATTTATAATCAAAAGTTTTTTATATTTATAGATAAATTATCAATATCAATTACATTAAAAAATTAAATTTATTTAACTTTTCCAAGAATATTTTATGTAAACAATATGTTGTATGAGAATTTGTTTCTGTATCTACATCTTCTGAAACTTTGAAGTATTCAATATTTGTTGGTTCAATTTTTTTATTTCTGCAATTTAAAATATATAAATTTTTATAAGAAGTATAAGATTAAAAAATTATATGCATATATTTTATTCTATGATTTTATTCAAAATACTTTGCTATCTTACTCAAAAATACTTGTTGTATATTTCTCAGGTATTTTTTCAATTATTCCAGATTGCATTATGTCCCATGAAAGATCCATAATACTGGATATGCATAATAAATTGGTTATACTTTGTAATTTTTCATCAGAGTTTTCTTTACTTTTTTTTTTGCATTCAATTTTGTTATTATCTTTAAAATCTGTTAACATGAAAAATAATATATTTAAAATGAAATAGTAAAAAGTATAATTTATTAATATTTATAATATTCGTACATATGACGAGAAAAAAATATAAAAAAAATATATTAAAAATATATTCGTACATATGACGAGAAAAAAATATAAAAAAAATATATTAAAAATATATTCGTACATATGACGAGAAAAAATATAAAAAAATATATTAATGTTCATGAAAATAATAATTTATTTAAAAATTATATGTAATATTTATATAGCACTATTTTATATAGCACTTTTTTTTTAAAAATTGAAACATATTATTTGAAATTTTTAAATAAATTTATTAATGTAAAAATATAGATTTAAAAAATTCATAAGTGCAATAAAAATCTATATTTTTTATATTAATTTGGTAAAAAAAATTTTTTATTAAAATTTTAATTTTACAAAAATTTTATTAAACTTTTGAAAAAAATAAAGAATATTATAATTAAATAGTAATATATAAAATTTTAAATCGTATCCTATATTAATATTCATGTGCTAATTCATGCTACAAATGAAATTCAGAAGATAAAATTTCAAAATAAAACGAATATTAAAAAACAATAAAATTGTATTAGAAATTTTGTTTTTGATAAATTTTTTTCGTTTTTGATCCAATTTTTTTAAATGGAATAATATATTTTTTATAGCAACAATTGATAAATTGGCATTTTTTTATAAAAAATATATCTACTTGTATCTAAAAATCATTAATTTAAGAAATATTTTAACATAAAATTTGCAAAATGTAATATATGAAAGATAAAGAACACACAAAGCGATATTCTATTGTTCATGTTCATGTTCATAAAAAATGATAATATTTGATAACACTTAACGAATTACTGTATTATATAATATAAAAGCTGGTCGATCAATACTATCATATATAAACAAAATTTTATTATAATAAGTATAATTATATATATATATATATATATATATATATAATATATTATATCATATATTCAACATTTCAAAAAATTACTGAAATTATTTAAAAAATTACTATAAATACAAATTAAGAAAATCTTATTTAATTAATAATAATGTTTAATCATAAAAAATATATATGAAATTAAGAAAATTATATATGATCAAAATAATAGTTAAGAGATAAAATGAAATTTATTCTATTTTAAAATGAAAATTTAAAATTCTTACTTTTGCAGCAAACACATTGTGGAAGAATTAAAGTCATATTATATCCAGATGGCGGATTTTTGCCTTTTATTTGTTGTTCTTCTCGAGGATAAAGATCCAATAAATCGAAATAAATATTTGTATTTTCGCTGTTTTCTACGTAATCACATAATCTTTCAAATGATTCTACTAATTTCGTGTCAGAAGTGTCTGTCAAGTTATAAATTTCTGTCCAATGTGGATAACAAATCGAAAAAACTTTGCTTAATGTTTCCTCTTTTACTAAGCACGTACATGTTTCATCTTTATACATACAATGACTGCTTTTTTTAGTGTTATTTTCACAAATTGACAGAATACTGGATTTTGTAGAATTATTGCATATAACGTCTTCTTTTTCTATTATTTCTATTATTTTTTTAATTCTCTAAACATAAATATTTTTTATTATATATATTTATTTGATATCTTTTTTTTATTTAATATTAACATAAATAATAACATAAATTCCTACCATTTACTTTCACAGTACAAATTTTTAGAATATTACTTTATTTTTAATGTAAATAAAATAAATTTAATTAAAATTAATTTTTCATCTTTTTTTAATTATGATATATTTATTATAATTTTTTAAAAATTAATTTTTTAAAATAATAAAAAAGCTTTTTTAAAATAAAAAGAAATGTAGATATAAATACTAATCCTTAGATCCTTGAATTTCTTTATGATATATCAAGAACCAGAAATTCTTAATTTAATAAAAAAAAGTAAAAATTATTTATAAGAAAATTAGAGTAAATGATATTTTTATGTTAGGAGCTTATTTGATATATCAATATTAAATGATTTTAATGATTTTTAATATGTAATGATAATTCAATGATTCCAATGATTTAATTTATTTTAATATATTAATATTGTTTCATATTTCAATTTGATATGAATTAATTCAATATTGAAACAATATCTTTTAAAATAATCATTATTCGTATTGCCGATTGTCTACGATTGAAAGAAAAATCTAACCTAATCAATAATTTTGAAGATATTATTTTATGGATTTATTTTAAATTTAATCTATATTTAATATAAATGTAATTAAAGCAAATGTATGCATTGTTTAATAAATGTTTATATTTATTAGACAACTTTATATTTACAGACATTAGAAATAGCAAACATTTTTATATTGAATTGATACTTTTAGTAAAATTTTAGATAAATTTTGAATATCTTGAAAACTAGGATTGAAAAAGTCAATAGATTATATGCAAAAATAAGTTATTTAAAATTAACAACATATTAAAAAATCATCCAAAAATTAGCCTTGCGTTATGTATTGTATTGATAGATATAAGATAATATATATTAACTATATTTATTCCATGCTATTATATTTAATTTATTTTGAAGTCATAAGTTAAACTACGGAACCTGATAATTTATTTTATTTTTTAATATTAATATATGTATTTTTTGTATAAAAAATTAATTAATATGAATGTTTTAATATATTACATGAGTTAATTTGATGAGAAATATAATGAGAAATATATGGTGTTGATCCCAAAAATATAAAAATATAATCAAATTTATATATATTCATAGTTTTGAAAGTAGTTTATAAACTATTTGGAATAAAAATTCATATAAAAATTAAATGTAATATAGCTTGATAAATACCCAAATGAAATAAATATTGTTTATTTTATTTTTTATTTACAATATTTATTTTTTATTTTATATATATTTTATTTAATAAACGTTATATATTTTAATTAAATCCATTTTTTATGCATTATAATTTTTTGTATAACTTTTTATAAAGAATTTATGTAATTATAATTATATATCATCTTTCATTTCATCTTATTAATATCGATAAAATATATTGATATAATTTATACAAAAATCAGAAATTTATGAGAGTATATATATATATTCAATAATTTTTGTTAACATATTATTTTACATAAAAATATCGTTTCTTCGTTTGATGCAATTAAAATTATAAATAATATGTAAGAGCAATAATCTTGATCGATATATTATGTATTAACAATTTTTAATTATAAAGAATATATCTTTAAAAGTATTTTAAATAATTGATTATATATTTACCGATTCTTTCTTTGACCATTTATCTATCTTCGTACATGGTGAAGGAAATCCAAGATTTGTACTACGTGGTGAATCAATGAAATATTTATTATCATTTTCTTGGAAATTAATTGTTCCACTATATCTTGTTGTATCATATGCTGGTATAGGATTGATATTTTTTGCAGGAAAATTTGTTAACATTTCTTTAATTATAATGTTTTTAATATTGCATTATGTTGTATATAGTTCCTTTAATAAAATTATTTTATAATTAATAATTATTTATTAAAAATTGTAATATCAAAAATTATAATTAGAATGTTATTAAATTTAACATTATCAAGAGATTTGAAATATATTTAATTAAACTGTTGATGTTAAAATATTTCTTATTTTAGTTTTAAAAAAGCAAAAGTTAGATAAAATTAAACGATAAAAATTAGAAATTTTACATTGTTTTAAAAATTTGAAATTAATATTTGTTTAAAGTTAACATATTTATATATTATTGTAATTAATATTTAATATTTTATTTATTGATAAAAGTTTATATAAAATTTATTGGTAAATTTGATTAATTTACATGTAAAATGACAGAAAATAATGAATTGCTATGAAAAATATAAAATCGATATTATAATTCTACTATTTCAGAGTAAATATGATTATGTATATTTATATTTATAAATATTCATCATTTTCAATTATAATTTAATAGAATTAATATTTATATAATATTATAAAATATTATATACCAGAATTTTCTTATATTTTTAAAATTTTAATATTATTTTAATATATTAATTTTAATATACATTCTAATATTTTTAAGAAATTTTGTAAATGAAATAATCATTTTTGAAATTTTCATTAAATTTCAGTTCAATTTCAAAACAATTCTTTTATAAATCTTCCTAATTAAACATTCTATGATACATTGTTGGAAAATGTCAGATCTTCAATATGGTTATTGCTATTGCAAATATTTTATTTAAAAATATAAGTCAAATTAAAAAAATAAATTCTTCTTATAAAAAGATTATTTTACTATTATTTTACTATAATATATAATTAATATATAGTTAATAAATATAAAACTAATATCATAGTTATAATATAATTTCGATATTATAATTTATTCGATCGCTCAAGAGTTGTTTTATATTTATTTTTATATTTTATTTTCGCATTTCTGTGGAATGCTCAAGCTCGCTATAAATTGATATATTTTAAGTTCGTCAAAATTCATGAAAAAATAGTTTTTTGACCAATTTACTTGTTATTTTACATTTTTAATCTACTTCAACTGATTTCTCATTTTAATAAGATAAAAGCTTTTTTAAAAAAACTGTAATGAAATAATAAAAATTGAGAAAAATTATAATATTACTAAAACATAATGAAAAAAAACTATGACTAAAAAAAAATAATAAATATATATTCTCTTTTTAATAATACGATTTAATAATATGATGAATCTAATATTATAATGCGGCTTCGATTGATTAGTTATTATGAAAAAAATAACATAATTTTTGATACTATAAAAATAGTATATATATATA